CTTCCCCCCCACCAAATGATTTTGAGTTTTGTTTCACATTGTTCTCCCACTCTATCCAGGATTTCCTACATACATCCCCTACATGACAGTGGTAGCTGGGCACCATCTAGTTCTTCTGATCTCATGGTCATACAGGCTGAGGATTGCATCATCTACCAGTCCCTGTCCTAAGAATTTTTAGAGTACTGCTTGGGATTCACTCCTAGGGGGCAGTGAGTTTATGGTGGACTTTGACTTTTGGGGTGTAGGACAGGAGTTTGCACAGTAGCAAGTGTCCAGGAATTATTGGTACATTCACTTGAGATACCCCTTCTGCAAACACCACATTGTCAAGTAACAAAGACTGGAGTTCATGGTTCAAACAGCAACCACAGAAGACAGACACCATAAAGCAGCCCCCGCCACGAGGCTCAAGGAAGAGCCCAGCACAGTCACCCCCTTGGTGTTCCGTTCTTTTTAAGGGGACACCTGTCCTTCTTTCTGGGTCCCAGATGAGGCTTTCCTGGGGCCAGGTGAGGGCAGATGTCCCATGAAAACCCGTCTTTCTCTTTTTTGAGGTAACACAGCAGCAACGACATGGTGGTTCGAGCTGGGTGGGGGTGGCCCACATGGCCGTCTTTGAAGCTGTGCGTCAGCTGTGTGTCTGTGGCTTCGTCACCTCCCCTCTCTGGGCCTCGCTTTCTTGCTGTAAAATGAGGATCCTCGGCATCACTGCTTTTGGGAGTCTGGGGGTGATTGAAAGGGGGCAGGGCTCGCCAAGCGTCAAGCACAGCTTGGCACCATGACTGAGGAGTGAGGGGATGTCAGCAGCCCCTCGAGCTCTGTGGGCAAACGCCCCTCCCTGCGGGTCCCTGGGGCGGCCACCTGCCTCCAGCCCTGCCTTCCTGGTGAGGCAGGCCCCTCTCCAGTTCCCACAGCTGCAGCTCGGGTTCCAGGCCCAGCCGGTTCGACCCGCCCAGTGGACACCTGAGGGAGGGTGTGGAGGAGGGAAAGGAAGGCTTAAACCAGCATTTATGGGGCATCAGGTGCTAGCAAACCCCGGTCAGCCTGCGCAGTGCCTGCACTCTCTTCCCTGAGAGAGGAGCTTGAGCAGGGTCTGAGGGTGTCGCCCAGGACCACGGAGCAGGCCCTAACTGTCACGAGCAGCCCACTCCCTTGTGCTAGTCCAGGTCTGTCCTGTGACCTCTGCCTTGGCTTGTCATCTTTCAGATGGGGATGATAACAGTCCTTCCTCGTAAGGCTGTCATGAGCATTAGACAGTAGCAGAAGGCTCCCAGGAGAGCCTCCGGCACCTTGGAAGTGCCCAGAAGGTTAGCACTGTCGTTCCTTCTGCCAGTGTTGCTGCTGCTGCTGTTACTACTGTTAGTACCACTCTGTTAACAGTGAAGAGCTCACTGCGTGTCAGGCCGCTTGCTAAGCCCCTTATGTGGGTTTATCTCATCGCCTCCTTAACCCCACACTACACCAGTTGCTGGTGAGTCATCTCCAACTCTTGGTTGACCCTGGGTGGCTCAGAATAGACCTGTGCTCCACAGGCTTGTGGACGGCTGAGTCTTCAGAAGGAGGGCACCAGGCCTGCCTTCGGAGGTGCCTGTGGGTGGACTCACACCGCCAGCCTTTGAGTTAGCAGCTGAGCACATTAACCATCTGTCCCACCCAGGGGCTCTGTGATACACCTGGATATCCCGATGATGCCAGCTTACAGATGCGAACTTGGGGTACGAACTTGAGACTTAGAGAGGGCTGCTGAGTCACTTCCAAAAATTCAGCATTGAAAACCCCGAGAGAACAATTCTGCTCTGATATGCGTGGGGTCCCCATGAGTCAGTAGAGTTGACAGCTTTTTTTTTTTTTTTGGTTACTCTTTACCATCAGGATTTTTTTTTTTTTTTTTTTTTTTTTGGTTACTCTTGACCAAGCATCATCCTACTTTCCAGAGTCGCAAACTTAGGCTCAGGGAGGTGAAGAAGCAGCGGCACCTGCCCGGGGCTGCAGAGCCCAGATCGGATCCAGAAGCTGCACCTGTCACCCTCCAAGGGAGCATTGTCACGCCCATTATTCAGCTGAGGAAACTGAGGCCGAGGAAGGGTTAGCAGAAGCCAAGACAGTGCCCCCACCTCTGGCCAGTGAAAACCAGAGAGGTCTGGGGCCTCACATGCTGATGAGCCACTTGGATGAGGATTGTGTCCTTCCCTTATCCCCCCATCCCTTTTGATGGCTGAGTAATATTCCTTTGTGTGGGAAAAGCACTTCTGGTCTTCCACTCATCAGGTGATGGACTGTTCCCACTTTCTGGCTGTTACGTTGCTACTTGTGTTGAGTTGGCTCTGACACAAACACCGGCTGGTCCTGTGTCATCGTCCTGATGGTGACATGTTGGAGTCCGTTGTTGGGGCCGCTCTGTGTTGTGAGTGCCTTCCAACCAAGGGACTTATGTGCCCGCACTGTGTTGGGAGGTACTCTGCTGTGACCCACACCCAGGGTTCTCATCAGCTAATTTTTGGAAGTAGAGTGCCAGACCTTCCTTCCTAGTCTGCCTCAGTCTGGAGCTCCACTGAAACCTGTCCACCGTTGATGACCCTGCTGGAACCTGTCCCCCACTGATGACTCTGCTGGTATTTGAAATCCTGGTGGCAGAGTTTCCAACATCACAGCAGCATGCAAGCCACCGTAGTAGGACAGACTGACAGACGGGTGGTGGTTAGTGATGGTTTTTTAGCATTCTCACTTTTTAAATAGGCGACTCCTATCCTCATATAATCTGGTGAGGAACCCCGCTCCATAAGACAGATCAAAGGGAAATGCCGTGGACCTCACCCCACCCAGACCCTCAGGGGGATGCTGGGATTATACAGGCACATACATGTTGTGGCAGGTGAAGGGCAGGCGTGTGGCTCCTGAGGACACATCGCTGCCCTCCCGCCCTTGCATTCAGAGTGGAAGCCCAGCTGCTCCCGCCTCTGCCCCCGGCCAGCTGTCCTGAGCAGGCCGCCTTCTCTGGAGCTGGGCTCTCCAGGGTCGGAGGTGTCGGCATCCACTGGACCAGCCCCGTGCTTGACCAGAAGCCACAAGAAAGCCAGGCCAGGGGCCAGGGTGGGAGCAGGCTTTTGCTGGCCTCTCAGACCTCAGCTTCCGCATCTGTAAAGCGTGGAAGGGGGAAGCAACGTGTTGCCAGAACAGAACGTTCAGCTCACACACCGTGGGAGTCTGTGCAGACGAGCCATGTAGGTGGCTCCCCCTCTCTCCCAACATCAGCTGGTTCTGGTTTTGAGTCCCAGGTGCTGATGTGTGTCCCACCCCCATTTCCCACCCTGGAATTGGTTGACTTCCTTGAACTTCTCCTTCCTGGACGTACATCTTGGTCCCTCAAGATTGCCAGGCTGTGGTCTGGGTGCTGTGTGAGGCCACTGCCTGTAAAGTCCCCAGAACAGAAGGAAAAGGTGAGCAGGAAGCAGTTCTGAGAACAAGGTGCAGCCTTATGTGGACAGGGCAGACAGGTAAGGGCTCACCTGGGCTCTGTACCCGCCAAACCCACAGCCTCTAGGAGCCAGCACCACGTGTGACCAGCTGCGGGGGGGTGAAAGGCCACCACTCCCTCCCAAGCCAGTATCTTTCTTCTTTTTCTTTAAAACAGCTTTATTTTATTCACATACCGTAAAATCCACTCATGGAAAGGGTAAATTTCATTGGTTTTTGGTACATTTACAGAATCGTGTAGCCATCGCCATAATCTGAGACTATTTGTGTGTTATGTAAAAGAAGGCCCATATCCCTCAGCATTCACCCCCATTTTACTCCAAGCCCTTGTTGTCGGGTGCCATTGAGTCAATATGACTCATAGCGACCCCACGTCACAGAGTAGAGCTGCCCTGTAAGGTTTTTTAAGCTG